ACTTAGACGTATATTCAGGTTGAGTATCGGGTGGTCCGGGAGCATTTCAGCGCTTATTATGGAAAGTTGACATTTTTAAGGTTTTGGAATTTTCTAAGTTTGGTTTGAAGTGGACTTTGATGTTATCGATGTCCGTTTGGCGTTGAAATTTATGACTGGTGCGTAAAGTTTGGCGTCATTCCGAAATGTTTAAGTATGAATCGGACGCGTTCGTCGAAGTTGGAATGTTTGAATGTTAAAAGAAGGATTTTGATAGTCGATTCGTAGTTTGAATGTTGTTTGGTATAATTTAAGGCCTCAATCAGGTTCGTGTCGTATCTTGGGACTAGTTGGTGTGATTAGACGGGGTCCCAGGTCGCCTCGGGTGTGTTTCAGGGTGTTTCGAACCAAGTTTTGATGATTTGTTGTTGCTGGTGTGCTTCGCGATCACGAAGAAGACTGGTGAAGGGCCCATGTTTTTCTATTCGCAAACGCGAGGAGGATCACGCGAATGCGGAGAAGGACCGGCCCTACTTCATGAACGCATAGGCTTGATCGCGAACGCGAAGAAGGCTGGGAGGGGGATGGCTGCGAGGCAGAAGGCCTTCGCGAATGTGAAGGACGGGGTCAGCTGGGCATCGCGAACGCGATCGGGAGGTCATGAACGCGATCGAAAGGTCGTGAACGCGATCGGGAGGTCGCGAACGCGAAGGGTAACTGCGCAACTGGGAGGAGTTGGCCTTCGCGATCGCGAGACTTTTTCCGCGATCGCGAAAAAGAGCGAGCCTAGGTAGATCTGATTTAATACGGGATTTAGCTCATTTTTCTTTCATTTTCACTTTGTTGGGCAATTGTTGGAACTCTTGAAGAGGATTCATCATCTATCATGAGGTAAGCTATTCCCACTTATTGTAAGCTATATACACGGTTGTACAAGGATATTAACATGAAAATTTGTAGAAACTGTGAGATTTTGGGAGAAACCTAGAAATTGGTATTTTTTTATTTTGACCCCAAAATTGGACGTGAGATTAGGAATAAATTATATATTCGAGTTTGTGGTGTTATGGGTAATGTTTATCTTCGAATATTTTTGGAATCCTGACATGTGGACCTGAGGGTTAACTTTGTTGACTTTTCGAACGAAGTTAGGAACGGTTATAAATTGATTAATTATGGGTGTTGGAGTATATTTTTATTGTTTTGCATGTTGTTTGACTAGTTTCGGATTGATGGACATCAGTTTGAGGTGTTAGAGAGACGTTAGAGCCAGTTATGGAACTTCAGAGTGAGTTAAGTTTCATGTCTAACTTTGTGAGGGAAAAACTACCCCGTAGGTATTAAAATATTATATGCTACTAATTATGGGTGCTACATACGCACAAGGTGACGAGAGTCCGTACGTAGCTATAAGCATATTTATGTCCGGGTAGACCTTGGATTTTATCATATAATATTTAAATTATTTGAACTCATTTTGCTAGCTTAATTAAGTGAATTTATAATTGAAATTGATTTGGGAATATATTAGGCCGAGCTTTATGGACTTGAGTTGTCTGGAGAGATATTTGATCAACGGTAAAAGTCATATTTACTTTATGCTCTTGTGCTTGTGTTGTAAGCACGTGACTTGTAGTTCGATAAGTTTCTTCCTTTCCTATAGATCGGGTCAAACGCCTCAGCGGTATATTGAGATGCATATCTGGTTCGCACCAGTCGACCCTCGGCAGTGTACATATCACTCTGGATCGGGCCGTACGACCTTGGCATAATCGTGCGTGATACCGCTAGCAGTCCGGATATTTAGGAGATTCCCTCTTTATTGAGGCATGGCATTTATATGGTGTTCCTTATTCGTTGGATATGACATTTGATATTTCTGGCCTGTTGATATAGCATAGGAGATTTGAGAGATTTATATCGTTAAAAGAAATGTTGGAGGATTATGCTAGTTACCGTCTTACCTCATTATTACTCTTATGCTTCATACCTGTTTATGCTTTATCATACTAATTTATTGGACCACTAGTAAGTGTCAATGTCGACCCCTCGTCACTAATTCACCGAGGTTAGGCTAGATACTTACTGGATACGTGTTAATTTACGTACTCATATTATACTTCTGCACTAAATGTGCAGGATCTGACAGGTTCATTTGGTGGTCATCTTGGCGCGTAGGCGCAACTGCTAAGGGGACTTTATGGTGAGCTGCATTCTAAGGAACGCATCGCAGCCCACGACGTCTCTATCGTATTATTTATTTTATTGTGTCTAATTTACATTCTAGACACAGGTTGTATTATTATGCTCCTTAGTAAATGCTTATGCACTTGTGACACTGGATTTTGGGATACTCTAGTTGATGTTTATGGATTTGCATATTATTATCACCTTTTATTTTTATGCCTTACTAATTATGTATGTACCCATAATTTTAAATGCGTAAATTTCTTTACCTAATAAAATTTATGATTTCGAAAGTAATAAAATGGACAATTGACGTGATAGTTCACCGTTGGCTTGCCTAACGACGACGTTGGACACCATTACGACCTATAATGGATTTTGGGTCGTGACATCTAAGAGACTTTTTGGTTAAAGAGTTTTGTGAAGATGATTTTTTTCATCATCGTTTTACCCACAATATCACCCACTATCACTAAACAGTCATCACTACACAACCATTATCGTTAGCCACAACTAATATAAAAAACTATCACCAACTACAAACACTAACACTACTAACTATTATCACCATCACCATCAGCCATTACTGCTAGGAACCTACACTATTACCAACATTACTACCATTTTCGACCACCACCAACTATTATCACCAACTAGGGGTGTACAAAGAAAACCGATAAATCGCATCAAACCGATAATCCGAGTCAAATATAAAAAATAAAAACTCGACTATGGTTTGGTTTGATTTGGTTTGGTGTTAGGGAAAAACCCCGACCATAATTCGTTTGATTTGGTTTTAACTAAAAGAAGTCAAACCGAAACTAAACCAACCCGACAGAACATGTGTAGAAGTTTTTAATATATTTAATACGTAAAAATATTTATTGTAGCGTAATTTATAAATATTTCTTAAACTTTTTCATAGTTTTATCTTTTAACGTATTATTTCAATCTTGGACTTATAATTTTTGAATGCTCGAACAAGTTTTATAGTCCATAAATATTAGTAACTCAAATAAATCTCAAACCAAAATCAAATCAATAATAATGCTATCAAAAAACATTCAATTTAATTGTACTAGGAATGACAATAGTGTTGAATATATATACTTTAGTTTTTATTTAGATAAACTGTATAACTTTTTTTTAGTGTTTAGTCATATAAATAATGTAGTACTTATTAGTCGTACTTATTTTAACAACTTTATAATTTTAGATTATATTCATTTTTCATTATGGCTTATTAATAATATTTATTTTATGCGATTTTATTATTTTTATTGTTGAATATTTTAGTACAATGCCATGACTCATCTCATATTTTATGTTATTTTTTTTAAAAAATACCTTGTATAGTTTTGTCTTGGGATAATACATAATTACCCCATTGGGGTTGTAGCTATTTGCTAGTTGCACCCTTGTAATTTGCGGGGTTCTATGACCCCTCTCCCCCCTTTATGTATTCAAAGTATAAAAAGTTCCACCTTTTAAGCTGATGTGGCATAAAGAGTGATATACACTCTCTCGAGGAGAGTGGGAGACAAAAACACAAGTTAAAAATTTAATTCTGCCATATTTTTAAATGTATTTCCTACTTTTTTTTATTATAGTTTTTTTCCAAGTTTTCCTTTTCCTTTTTCTTTTTACTTCTTTCTCTTTTCTTCTTCACTCACTCCTCACCTAAAACAATGGAGATTAATATGATAGCGCTTACTTCAATCTCATAAATTAAATTTTTTTAAAAGATTAAATAATAACAAGAAACTCTATTAGATTTTAAATCAAAGAAAATTTCCCAATATTGAACCTAGTGGTGACAAAAATGGTTAAAAGAAAACAGTTAACCACCCGTATTATCCATTAAAAATGGGTTGGATAATAAATTTTTTAAAAATGGGTCAAATATGGATAAGAACCATATTATCTATTTAGATGAATAACTAATGTGTTTAATTTTTACATTTGTAAAAACTCAAATTGGGGGTTTCTCAAGTTTGGGAGATTAGGAATTCTCCAAAAAATGATCATATTCAAGAAGTCATGGATAATATGATTACCCATATTATCCGCTGGTTAACCCTTTTCTTATCCGTATTAAATATGGGTCGGGTCAGATAATTTATCCATTTTTTTATTACTCATTTTCGACTTGAACCATATCCGACTCGACCTACCCGTTTGCCACCCCTAATTGATCCAAACAATACACTAACGTGGGGAGAGAAATGAATCTATCCGGAAACATATCCAACGACCGAAAAAATATCCGGCGATTGAAAAATATAACCCCATTTCATGTCATCCTCTTTAAAATGTGACCAGATGTTTTAGAATTTACAAACTTTTCCTTAATATCTATCAAACTTGCATAAGTTCATATTGTCCTTGTAAGCACGTAATTTTTGACTCACGCAACTTTTAAAAGTAGTATTTACTTATTTTCATTTTTAATAGGATTTCAGTCAACTTTTAATTTTAATTTCAAAAAAATATAAGTTTAACAATACAAAAATAATTTTATAATACTTATTCTCCTATTAATTAGTATATTTTGGTAGTATTTTTATTTTTATTTTTTATTTTTGTTCAATGTGAAAGAATTGAATTTGGGTAAATTGGGAGCTCATTTTCGAATTTTAGTGACCCAGCAAGACAAAGGCACATTCTTCACAACCCATTAGTCCACTCTCCACTTAAATACAAGATTTAATCTTAGTCATCGATTCCTCTTCAATCTAATGGCCCATATCAATTCTTACACCCATAGTTAAACTCAATTATAATCAAACTCTAACCTACCTTTTAATCTCCTAAAATTCCTACTAACTCTATAAAAAAAAAAGGGCAGACCCCTCAACTCCAAAAACCCAGCCGGAGATTCCACCAACTCTTTCCATAGCATTTCTCCATCTCACCACCTTTCCACTCCAAACCTTCCTTTCAAACTCTCAAAATCATGTTGAAACGGTCCTCTCTGCCTTCGCACATCTGACGGGTCAACCCGGTAGAACACGGGCAGAACGAGTTTACCCAACTCACAAATCATCGCTAATTCCTCGAGACGCCATCTCGACGAATCATAAGTGGGTGAAATAATAGCAATAGCAACACCAGAATCGTTGATTGCATCCATAAGATCTGTTCGATTTTTCCGGTGAGCTTCGAGGTCATCGAAAGTTGTTGTCCGAGTTTCCGTTTCAGTCGCAAGCAGGGCCGGATGGAGGGTAAGGCTGCTCAAGCCATTGCCTTGGGCCCCAAATTCTAGAGGGTCCCAAAAATATTATACTATATTATTATGTAGAAAAATTAACCCAAATAGTTATCCACCCAACCACTTAAATCAAAAATAGCCGATGAAGGTATAACATATGCATAATTTATGTATTATATATGAATAATTGTGTATAATCAACGTATAATCTATGTATATGATTAGAAAAAGTAAATAGTGAATATGACCGGCTATTTGTGTAAAGATCCCTATTATATATTAGTATATATCTTATGCGATTACTCTTAAGAGTCCAAATTTTAATATTTGGTTAAGAATGCACAGATGAGTGAGTAAAGAGCGATAAATCTCTGTCTTGTTAGTAGTATATTTATTTTCCTCTTCTGTTCTAATTTTTCCTCCTTTCACATGACTTTGAGATTTCGCTTTCCAATTTCAAGATTTGTTTCTTTGATTTAACTACTTTCTAATGTTTAATTGACTCATTGATTAGAACATGAGATCTTTTGTGTCTCACTGTTACCTGAATTTTGTGAAATAGGCCTCTTAATACAATTTGGCTTTAGGCCACTAATTTCGTTGAGCCGCCCCTGATCGCAAGTCGAGGTACTGTCGTTGGCTTCTGGTTTGAGTTCCGTTCGCGGTTCCGCTTCGAGTTCGCCAACTCTGATTGGTTTCTGGTTGGAAATCCATGTACGCTTCTAAAAGCTTCGACGAAAATCCGATTATGCTATTCTAAGGTTCAATTATTCACTCCTCTGTTCATTTTGTTCCTATTTAATTTTATGTGTTGTTTTGGCAATATGGCTCCTTGCTTCGTGATCAATCATTGCTCTTAGTGATTTTTTTATATTTTTTATCACTGTTCAAATCTGCATGGATTCAGCTTTGTTTTGAGCAAATTAATTAAGGAAGATATGTGGGTGTTAGCTAAATAATTAGAATGATTGGTCTATGTTGGATAATGAAAGAAATGGGCCGTAGGGTCGTTGGGCTAAATTGAAATGAATATTGAAACTGTAACCTTTATTGCATTATTCAATTGTTTTGATCGTTAGGAGCATGCTTAGGTCGTTAGTATTCATAAATGCGTTAGAATACTTTACGTGTGTATTAATAAATAAATTATCGTGATTATGTATACGTTCGCGTGATATAATTATGGTTTACAACATTAAAACCAAGGTATGCGTTCGCGCCACTTTGGACGAAACAATCTTAATAATTAATAAAGCGTGATTAATGTTACGCGGCGCTTTCCTGAAGTTCCTTGGAAGGGCGACGTAAGGCTAAGCAACCGATGTCAGTGCGATTGTTGTCCGCCAACTGAGGTCCCCTCCGTACGCTAGACTAGATTGTCAGTGCCGTACGAGAAAACCAATGTCGTGATCAATTGAAAGAGAGAGCAGAAAAGAGAATTGAGAATGAAAGAAAGCTTGATTGCATTAAATGAAAGCTATTACCGAAAAACAACACGGTGTCGGGAGGAGAGACACCAGTACAGAGAATTGTTTGCTTGCTTGAAAGTTTGATTGCTTGGTCCCCCTTAATAATGCTTAAAAAAAATAAACCAAAGTTACAT